CTGTTGAAGACATGATTGCCATGCGATCCCATTTGAATTTTGCTAAGATGGCCCTTAAGAGACCTCCCAAACCAGCAAATGTACCAGTTGTCCGTACAAAATAAGGATAGAGTGTTTTGTCTGATAGTACTGTCGCTGCGCATCCCCAAGATACCATGGGAATGTTCCAGTGAGCTGCTATGTAGGCACCAGGGACACATCCCACTGAACATCCAGGACCAATGAAGACATCAACTTTGGGGTTTTCTATTGTGTAATAGTCCACCAATGTTGCAAGAGATGCTCTTGCTTCACATTTGCTGTCTTTAACTACAAAGGTCAGGTTATGTCCTTGAAGCCAGTAAGGGTCACTGTTTACTTTGTCCCTAGCAATCAGAATTGCTGATGCCATCCTGGGACCACCAGGCCAACCACCAGTGAAAGGAAGAAAGACCCCCATTTTGATATCCCTTGCATAAGAAAGAGAAACTAAACAAAGAATAGATCCAAGCACAAGAAGAGGATTCATTGTTGTTTCCTCTGATCATATGTTTCTGAAAAAATGATAGACATTAATGATTAAATAGGGAGCTCTCTTTGGCTTATTATTACTGCAACGGATGTTATACAACCTAGCATCACTCAGGACTGATCTATAATGGGATAAACTTCAAGAAGTAACACATTATTGTCTCATAAGAAACTGATCTCTGTTGTTCTGTAGCACGTTGATAGGTTAAACTGGAGGAGTACATTAAATGGAGAAGTGCATTTCCCAGCTATGTTTCTGATTTTTTGTTCATATTTATAGATTTTTTCTCAAACAGCTCTTCAAAACCTGACCTAAAAACACTTGATGATCATTTTCCCTTAGTTTTCAGACAGTTTTTTTTTAAGCTGTCTCACTTTTTCAAAAACAACAGATCAAACATGGCTAGCACAGGTTGAATAACCTGTAATTATTTAAAAAAGGATATATCAACAGCTTTTATATTTCAAGTTAGGCAGAGAAATGAAAATGTGGCACGCACGCAGATGATTTCTGTTGTTGAACTTTTTTTCCACAGTTTATTAGCCGTTCAGGATGATAATTTCCCCTTATGGAATCAGTTTTCGGCATTTTTGCAAAGGGGCTGGTCTTGTGACAAAGAAAGTGAAGGTCGTTCATTTTGAATAAAGAGAGCACCTTGTCAAGATGATGTCGAAATTCAATTTAATCTAAGCAACGATTTCAGTTTCTGTACATTTGCCTTTTTACTTCGCCGGCAAATGTAGGAAACAATGAGAAAACTCTATCAAATCGAGCAATATTTACTTTAAGAGGAATATATGCAAAGCAAAAAGCAAAAAAATGGCGAATATTCTTGCTCTAAAGTGTTCTTGCAAGGTCTTTTTTCGGTCTACGCCACTATGGCGAAATCGCCAAGTGGCCGCTGTTAACAATATAATATTTTTAAGGCGCATTGGAAGTCTATGGTCACGGTCCAATAGTTTCTCCAAATGCTTGCATTTATTACGGTCAAGTAAGTTAAGAACGAGTTATGTCCCCTCATACTTATTCATCTAGTTGGTTACCTCAGGCGATCTTCCCTTGCAGTAAGACAAGCCTTGTTGAAGACCCTTAAAATTTTTACAGAAGTTTGTCCGAACTGCGGAAATGCTAGCCTGTAACAACAGGAAAGAATATTTGTCAAATGACTACTTAAAGAATTATCCTCACTATATTTAAAAACCCATCCATGATCTAACCATTAGACATAAATTTCAGCTGGTTTGGAGCAATAACATGAACTTTCAACTACACCATTTGATCTGAATCTCAAACAAATTTTTCCCTATGAATTTGAGTTACTCACGTTGTGATATTCCTGATAAAGCTTTTTTACAGTCCTGCCAAATCGTAACTTTTTCCGAGTGCGGAACCCCTTTGAAGTTAATCAGGAAAAACAACGAAACTTCAACCCAGGAGGCGTTGACGCCAAAAAATTTGAAGGCGCCGCGAAACAACAAAGCGAAATCTGATTGGTCGGTATATTAGATGACGCATTCTGATTGGTGTGTTCAAATGAACCTCTGATGTATTCCCGCCATTTTGACGTAGTGACATTCGTGACATTCGTGACATTCATGACATTCATGACGTAGTGTGCAAAGTGTGCGCACTGCATGAAGTAAAGTTTTGAAACGAGACGACCACGAATGAAAAGGATGAAGCGGGAAAATGAAAAATGCTTCTTACTTTGAGATGGATTGTATTAATTCCTTTCTCTGTTTCATGTTGAAAGTAGTATCGAAATGTTTAACAACCTGTGAATTTCTCGATGTTAGGCAGCTTTTTGATGCAGGAAAGGTTGAGCCGAGTAGAAGGGTTTGGGACTGGGCGGAGGTGGGGCGCCCGGGGCGGGGGGCAGGCAGAGGGGAAATTTGCCACAGATTAGGCCTCTAAAAGAGGCTTTCACTTCTAATTGCTGCCTTTCGTTCTTCTCATCTCAGCAAAGAATATTGGTATTGAATAATAGGATTCACAGGACTCGTCAAAGTCCTGGAGATATGTTTCTACTACTTGGCCAAATCAGCGGTTAAACTATCTTTGCAACTAAGCTATTAAGGTGAGAAAATTTTGGCTTTGACTTTTTGAAATAAAGTCATCTCTGATCTCGTCAAGGTCACCAGACGATCAGAAAGACAAAATTCTAGTCAATTCTTAACTCTTAACAATATATCAATTAAAAAGCGCTTTGATCATTTTATCCATAATTTGATATCGTTTTTGCCTGATTTGTCTCGGTTACCTTTTGATATTTTTTTACGCACGGTTGTTATTTACTTCATTTTTGTTTTCTTGCCTTTTACTTATATTTTTGCTTGTATGAAACCACAACTAATTGATTAACTATCCATTTTATGACCATAGATCAATAGGTGAAGCCGAACTTTACTGATCAGAGAATTATATAAATAGGATACTAAATATGAGGAGATAAAATTCACCGCTAAAATCCAAAAACAAAATCCACCGTAAAGTCGGTGTTCGCTTAATATGGACTTCACTTAGTACTGGTTTAAGAAAAAATAATTTCAATGTAGTCAAACGACAAACGGAGCCGGTTATTTCTCCCAGCAGCAGCTATGGCGAGCTTTGGGTCAACGCCATGACGTCAGTTTCCCCATCGAGTCACATGACGTATAAATTCGCGATTTGAGCCCACGATTCTACAGTGACGTCGAGTTTCTATTTTGGAAATATAAGTAGTAAGGCAAGCTTGTAATCGATCAAAATTGTTCCAGCTTTCCTCGATTCAGAAACATTTTACTCTTCAAAACCTAGTGTAGTGAAAGGATTTGGTCATGGATTTTTTATTTGGCAAGAGGAAGACTCCTGAGCAAATGCTTAAGCAACATCAGAGAGCTTTAAACAGAGCGATGAGGTTCGTGTTATTTTAGTTTTCAGAATTTACGTACTGTTTTCCAATGTCTTGTAAACTTTTAGCTGATATTGGATTCTAAAAGGCAAATGCTGCTTGCTTTGTATAGTGTGCATATTTTCAGAGACAGTTTTTTCGTAGAATTTGTCTCTTTCTGCGTAAGATTTGTTTCCAAGGGAAATTATTTATATTTCACTTAAGAACGAATGCTTGACATGGTGCTGTAGCTCTAGCTACTAAGTACGTCGAGGTGTTCGAGCATTTTGTTCGACACAGTAATCGATTATCCTGTTATCGCAAGCATCTGAATTGATTTATCATCCTGGGTCGTTCAGTGGTAAAAATTTCACATTTTGCCATGGCTTCTGGTATCTCAGCTATCCTTCGTGTACAACTCAGGTTATTTCAGTCCAGTTCTTCATCTCTTATCATTTTTAAGAATTTTGAATTCATATATTTCAGAGATCTTGATAGAGAGCGAGCCAAAATGGAACAACAAGAAAAGAAAGTCATAGCTGATATAAAGAAAATGGCAAAACTTGGACAGATGGTATGTCTGTAAGAATTACAGATTTATTAAGTTGTTTTTGAAACCCTAAGATGTTTTAGCTTCCACTCAAAATATTGTCTGACCACATACAGTATATAGGTCATGTTCTGGTGGGAAGATGTGAAATTCTATTCCATTTTATTAAAAAAATAATTATATAACTCTTGATAGCTACAATATTATAGTAAGTGGCTGTGTCTGTTTTACCTTTTTACCAGACATGAGTCTGTTTCATGCCTCGTGGGGTTTCAGATCTTCAGTTTAAATTGGTATCATTGAAAATTCTTTATGATTGACAGGAGAGTAAGCACAGTAGTTGCCTGTTTATTTCAATTCCCAAGTTTGATTACCTGTTAAACATATACTTTAACCACTCATCCTAGACAGACTTCTGGTTATTATATCTTGTAGCTGAAAACCAGTGGAAAAGTTGAAAATCCAGCTCAGTTTGCTAGTTTTGATTTATATGGTATCTTACCACAATATTTCCCATACCTCACAGTGTCTCTCTAAATCGACTTCATTTGTGTCTATATTCAGCATATATCCCCTGTACATGTACATCTCCCCAACAGATATTTTTCTCATCTTCAATTCTTAATATTTCAATATCCTGGTATGTTCAGTCACATGTACTACTTGAATCTCATTCTTGTGCTTCCAAGCATTGCAGACCAGCTGTTAAGAAATTTTAACTTTTATGTTTGGTTTTACCTCCCCAGCCCCCTCAGGCTCCCTTGAAGTTGTGGTCTGTGTCCCCACCCCCTCTCCTCTCCCTTTCTTCCTATGCCATTCCCTTCCAGCCCTTTCTCCAGGGGTGCCTATGTCTATTTTCCCCCCCCCCCACCACACAGCATGAGTTTTCTATTCAAGTAGGAGGCAGTTCCCTCCTGTTAACCCTTAAATTCCCAAGATCTGATTGTACATCCTCCCCTCTAGCTGCTGCAGATTTCCTTGTAATTAGTTACAAGAATTTAGTATTAGATTGACATAACAACTTCTATCTGATAAGTTTATCAATGAGTATTCTCATTACCTGTTTGCTGAATATTATATGTATGGATATTATAGGGAGAAGTTAAATGTTCATCAATTCCTAGAGTTAAAGAGTTAACTACACATAATGTATACTTTACAGGATGCAGTCAAGATAATGGCGAAAGATCTTGTGAGAACTAGAAGATATGTCAAGAAATTTATAGTAATGCGCGCAAATATCCAGGCAGTTTCACTCAAAATCCAGGTAGGTTAAGCACTGTCTAAAGGGGGCCTCTATCATTTTGAATGCTTAACCCATTACACCCTAACATCAGTATGCATATTCTCCATACTGCTCTTTATACATTTCCTAAGGAGGAAAACAAGGAGAATTTTTTTACCAATCAAAAGCTTCTTTTGTTGGTGATCATTTCTTGTATTCTCATGACCTTAACATGTGATTCATGGGTAATATTGTTAGGAGAAATTTGATGCTAACAGGGCTAAAAATTAACTCCAGTGCTTGGTGGCCAGTTGGGCCAGTTTCCTTGAATTCTTAGTGTCCCATCCCAAAATGAAGTTGCCCTGGATTTCCTCTAGTTTAAAATGAAAAACTTGAATAAATGCCCCTTGGCTTTTAACAGAGCGTTAATTAAAAGGAAAGAACACAAAGTTCAGAGTCACTTG